CAAGAGTCAGAATAATTTGGGTAGGTCCTAAGGCATCAAGGTATGATGACATAAGCTATTTGCCCTATAGAAATGCCATACACTTACATCCTCAAAATGGACCTCGTGGGCCAGATGAGCCTCAGACACTGTGCCTCATACATAAGTCTCAGACACTGTGGTAGCTATAATGGTTTCCCAAAGAAATGGATTTTCTGCATTAAAAGCTGAGCCATCTAAAGATAATAATTTCAAGGTAATACATCAAGGTTGATGAACTATCAATGAATTACATGCATATTTCATTTTTAACTTTCTGCCAGCTTATAAACCACTCCCTTTGGATTTTTACCAGGAGGAAATAAATTAGAAAAATATTCATTTTTCCAGAGCAGACAGGTCTTGGAATATCTCCCATAGCACATTTCAAGGAACGTAGTATTCTCCTCAACACCTGACAATCTTTTTTCAGTGTTGAAATGCCTAGCTTTTGGCAAGCTTAGCTCCCATTACCCTCATGCACAGAGACAAGAATTTCAGCCTCATCTTAGCTCAGAGCTTTTCTGTTCTGCTTTTCCTTTTCCTTTTTTCACCTCAGTTTTTGTTTTACTTAATAATGAAGCCAGTGCAAGAATGTGGCAGCTTGAAGCAGACCAAAACGGGATAAATCTTCAAGCCATCAAGGAAATGCTGACTGACATCTTAAAATGTCTGCTGCTTTGAAATGCCCCACACAAAACAGGAAATACCACTTTGGCTCTACTACTACAAGAAAACCACTTTGGCTTCCTGTTAACAGAAACACATGTCTCATAAATGAAGTAAGCCTAGGCCCTCATTGCAATTGGTCACTTTTGTACCACCAAACAAGCAAAACAACAAAAAAAATCCCAAACCCCAAACTTCCACCACAATACATGGAGTTCCTCACATAGAAGTATGCTTACATGGACTCCGTTGCTACTTTAAGAGTCAAAAAATACAAGGTTTTGTATTAAATCTGTAGGAGACATGTAATCTTACAGGTTCACACAATAGATGCAGCATGCTCATAATTTTTCCTAGTTAGTAATAATTTTAAATTCTGAAATTCTACATAGTTTTAAATCAAATACCGCCTCGTTTCTTCCCCTCCCTCCTTGGCTGTCCCAAAGAGCCTTTTCTCTCAATAAGAAGGTTTCCTCCAAAACGAAAATTATTTGGAAAAAAAAAAAAAAAGGCTGTAGCATATTATTTATTCCTGTTTACTCCTGTTTCACGTGAAACCCAGTATTGAGTAAATCATCAGAACTAGATGCAGAAATGATTCACAGTCCTCACATGAAACTTCTCCCATCTTAGGAAAGGAAAAGTGATCCCACCTCATTCTGGTAGCTTGTGAAATCTACACCAACAAAACAGAGAGATTTGATTTCCAGAAAAGCCACCAGAGACAGGCTGCAGAAATTAGATATTGTCATTAGTTACTCCAAAATCTCTGTAGCTGGACTTACTGCACCAATACCAAAAGGCTTTACTGACAAAGGAGTAAGTGTGCATGTGCACACACCCATGCACACACACTTTCTCCTGAAAAAGTACATGAAACAAGTCCCATGAGGCAGATGGTTAAAGACTTTTGGACATTCACTAGGGATGCACAGTTTCCCTACAGATACTGTTACCCTAAGTATCACTGAACAGAGCACAGAGTTGTCCAAGTTTCTCCTGCCGAGGTGGCTCCCTGCTGCATCCACTAGTTGTAGCTGTCGGCTTCTGCACGCTTCTTTCTCCCACGGTGACTTTCACATTGCTGCGCAGCCCCTTGTGATGAATCCAGCACCAGGTCAAAACTGTCACATTATTTTCCAGCATTGCTAATTGAATCTTGTTTTACTACAATTTTCACTTCACATTTCCCACACTTTCCATTTGTTTTGGGTTTAAATAGTAGCAGAAGAGAGTGGAAATAGACTCCTAGAACTGCACTTGCATTAAACTCATACATTTGCTTTCTTGAACACACAGAAATTTGTTAAAATAACAATGGCATTAAAGTAACCCCATTCAAGAATATTCTGTTCTTTTCAAAGAGGATGATACAGCCCATCCTCAGCAGGTTTTCAAAAACTCAATAGTTCAACAATAAGTATCTACTGACCATCTGAAAAAGAGTAATTTAAAAGCTATTTTAGGCTATCTAATTTCATCAAAACCAATAGCAGAGTTTAGGCAGTTTGAGGACATTTGTGTGTCTATATTTGGGAAACCTGTTTTGTATACGCTTATACAAGCACAGTGTGAAAAGAGCCAACACAGCCTGCGCAGGCCACATAGTGCTTTCCTTTGTATAGTGCAAATCTGCTTCAGCAAACGGAGTTGACTAGGACTTTGCTCAGAATTGCAAGGCACTGACTAGTCTGGCTCAGTTTGACAGGCCACTTAAGCTCATGCTTGTTTTTAAGATATAAGTGACGATGCTTTTGAAGAAAAACGGTGTTTGCTTGCTTTGTTTCATGAGAAACTGAATGATCTACACCCGCAAGAGGAAATCTGAAGTGTACATTCAATTTGACCTCCATTATTTATTAATTATTTAGCATCAAGTAGTTAAAATTGAGATGGACCAAGCGGATTAATCCCTACGTTCCTAACTTTCAGTGTGTGCTCAGCGGTTAATTGACATCATGTCAAATTCAGGGGCTATCCCTCTCCCACCTATGCATTTGCTTCGAAGAATTTCATTCAGGAGCAGAACACTCACAGACGTCCACTGTCCAGAGGGTCTTCTGGGAATAGTGAAAGATAAAAAAACCTTAAAATGGGCTCAATTTTTAGGAAGTGATTACTCTGAGCCAAATTGCAACAGGTATTGAGCTTGCTTAATTTCTATCAACTTCTAGTTAGAATTAGTGAAGTGATGAAATCACCGCTTATATGACAATTTCCTGAAAACAATAGCTTTTTACCAACCTGAGTTTTGTGTCTGCTTCCCCATTTAGTCATTGTCACCCACTTGCAGGTCTCAGCTAACATTTGCTCCCCATCAGCAGACTAGCCCCAGTTATTAAGTCTTGACCCAGTATCAGCCCTTACCCTCACACTCCTAAACCCTTTTATACCTGAGGCAATAAGGCTATCCCAAGCATAGCCCTGCTTCTGCATTCAACCAGCCCCCATTTCCCCTGACCCTCTCCCATTAAAGCTTGTGTCAAAGGAGCCTACATTCTTCCTTCTGTTTCCCCTTTCTTGTAGCTTACCATCTGCTCCTCAGTTCTCACACTCAGCACAGCCTTAACTGCCATTTTTGGATGCATTGGGACATAATTCAATGTCTCTATTTTAAAAGGAAAGCTGATAAGTGTTAAAAATGCAATATCAACAGTCAGACTTATCACTACACAGGTGGAAAAGATTTCACATGTTCCCACTAACACTATTAAGTTTTGTTTCCTCAGTCAAGCTATGATAAAACATTCAATGTATAAAGGCAGGTGAATATGGCTGCATCTGTATAGTGTATTTTGCTTTAAAAGGTAAGCTGTGTTGAAAACTAATGACAAAGAATATCTTTTCGAAATAGCCAACAGAAGTGCAGATTGCAACAGTTCCTGCAGTGGCATTAATTAGAGAATGGTGGGCTAATTCCTGCTTTTCAAAACTCAGTGCTCTGCAAAGTTCCTTATACTTGTACACATGCAGAAGGTGGGAAGGCAAAAAACCCAAACCTTGTACTGAGGACAACGAAGCCAAAAAGTTATGATCCTGCAGCAAAACCTCTTAACACACTTATTTTTGTTTGCCCAAAGGAAAATCCTGAAACTTTCTAGAAAACTTATTTTCCTGCCCTAAATTGTACAGATTTTCTTCATCTAAAACTCAAAGCTAGAAAGACAGAAGAAGAAGTTACAGCAGATGCCCCAGGGTAGTCTCAGTTGTAGAGCCATTACTGTGATTCATAATGGCATAAAAAACAAAGAGGCATTTCAAGTAAACCTGTAAGCGCTCTCATCTGGGTGGGTCTGGTCCATGTGTGCCTATCTACATTAGGAAATTCAGCATATATAAATATATAAATAAAACATATATACACAGTACATAGTCACATTCATATAAGCCATAAAATGACATATATTTACAAAAATATTTGCAACTATGTTTTACACTTTCAGGTCCACATCAGGAATTCAATTGTTTAGCTTCTGCCTTGTGAACTTGATCACCTTCCTAAGTAGGAATCTGGGATGAACTTGTACCTTGTATATTCACAATTGTCAAAAATAAGAAAGAAGAAAATAATCTTCCAAGGAATTCTGCCAAGTCCATAAGAAAAGTTGAAACTTGTTGAAGCAATAACAGCCTCTCTGAAGAGTAAATTACATGTTAGCAAACACTGAGAGACCTTCTCTTCTTCATGTAGAAAGACAGTAACTTGGTCTAGTCCATAAATAAATTTGAAACTCATAAAACATCAGGCAGAGCACAAACCGGGTGCCTGACAGCAGTCTGTAATATAAACTCATGCATAATTACTATTCCATTTGTCTCAGTCTGGTAGAGCAGTGAAAGTGAATGAATGTAGAGATGAAAATGCATACATCAGGTTACCTTACAGGGTAAAAAGGTAGAGCGTAGACTACATCCTGCTGGCTTTGTTGTGACTTCCTTTAACAGTAAGTTACGTGGTTAAAACAACCCCAAGGATCTCACATTTATACAATTCATATGATACAGTTCTGTGACTTCCAGGAGTTGGACATAATTCATTTACTTCTCCCAAGATGGAAAACCATTTCTTTGCTGTTTCATAAAATAGTCGTCTTAGGTATGCAACCCAGGTTCAGGCATGCTTTTTTAATTTGGGGGATTGACCCTTTTGACATGAAATAAGTTTTGCAAGAGGAATTAAACCTTTGGAGAAGGGGTTGGTTTCCTTTTGAAGAACACTTGGAAAAAACAAACCTCAAAATGCAGTATTTTAAAGTGCCTGTACGTGAAGACCCGTGGGGAAAAATTTTGCCATGAACCATCCAACCATGGCCTCAGATAGCACTTTCAGCAATAGGCTGTGGAGTCATCTCTTGCTCTTCGCTATTCTCTGTGGACACGTCCTGGACCTCCTGCTGCTGATAGATATCTTGGACCAGCATGATGTTTGTGTTCCTCCACTCTCTGTACTTCATTGCCGTCAACTTTGGGTCCTCTAGCAACTGGTTAATTGTGGCCAGGTCATGTTCCTTACACTAGGAAGAGAACAAGTGGTTATTTCCTACAGAAGCTGTCAAGCTCATTGTCCGTAACAAAAACACTCTGGGAACATTAGAGAACCCTGTCACAAGGAGATGGCCAATTATCCGTCCTCCTGGCAACTTGTTCCCATTTTTAGAACACAGATTATCAAAGTTAAGCCCACAGCAGAAATTCATCCCAGTTGAAGGCAAGATTATGATTTCATGTAGATTTTTTCTTTTATAGGATTCTTAGCAAAACTTCATGAGAGATGATTCACGTGAAAATTAGACATTGTTATGCTGTTTCACAAGTTAGTACTTGCATGAAACTAGACACAACAGCATTTATTTCTGTAATTCCCCCCAATTCCAACTTTCTCAAAAAATACTTATTCCCTGGCCACGTTATATATGTCTCTTCTCTGGGAGCTAGACAGAAAATAATTTTTTATATAATCCATGCACTGGCAGTAGAGTTTATGGGTGGCTAGAGCACATGTGGCTGCTAATACATCTACCGCCAGCTACTACTAACAAATCTGGTCTCTACTTTTAGACAAGAGCAGGTCAGACCATATATTGCAGGCACTGTGGTTCAATCGTAAGACATGAACAGTCAGTGATATAGGGAGACTGAGACCCTTTATGTCACAGAATCACAGAATGGTTGAGTTTGGAAGGTACCTCTGGAGGTCATCTGGTCCAACCCCCTTCCTCAAGCAGGGACTCCTAGAGTAGGCTGCCCTGCACCAGATGGCTTTTGAATATCTCCAAGGAGAGAGACTCCACAGCCTCTCTGTGCAACCTGTGCCAGTGCTCAGTCACCCTCACAGTAAAAAAGCGTTTCCTGATGTCCAGAGGGAACCTCCTATGTTTCAGTTTGTGCCCATTGCCTCTGGTCCTGCCACTGGGCACCACTGAGAAGAGCCTGGGTCTGTCTTCTTTACACCCTCCTTTCAGGTATTTGTATTTATTGATGTCCTCACATTTTCAGACTCAACGAATCACTTTGCTTTTTTAGCCCTTATTGCCTATCCATGCAGTGGATCACAGGATAGAGATGTCCTAGTTAGCAGCTACAATTAATGGAGGCACCATGCTGCAGTAACAAACCTTTACTGCTTTTGCCTAGCTCCGTACCCCCCAGTCTGTGTGTGAAAGCAATGGAATAGTTCTCACCATCTTCTCCTGCTGCCACCAGTTTCATCACACCTGAGGACACTCTGTGCTAGTGGCTGCCTTGAAAACACCTTGAAAATGCTCCCGCACATTCACGACACTTCTTGATAGTAGCAATAGTATGCTCATGCATCCATGTCCCACTACTACTCTAATGAACTATCAACTACTCTAATCCCTGTGATGCCTGAGCCACTTTTGAAACACAAAAACTTGTTCCACTGTTGATTTACACAGGTCCTACCCTCAAGACCTAGCACCAGCCCTTATAAGAGGGCTTCTGGCATAGATGCAGAGATATTCGCAGTTAGCCTAAGAGAAGAAGAGGAGATAGGGATGTAGAAGGGAGAGAAGGGTATTTCCAGTGGACAAAATTGGTGGCAAAAAGCCATGCCATGGAATTTTTCTGTAGTGCTAAATTATTTCCCACATTTGTTAAGCCTGTGATGCATTTGCACAAGCTTCACTCTCTTCCAAACTATCCAAAGCATGTTTTCTTAATGATATATTGTGGCAGCAACATTAATCTGTTGTTAAAGATGTGGAGTCAAAAGTCCAAAATTAAAATGGCACTGAATCTTGCATAAATTACTTGTCTCAAACTAACAGGGTCTTAATTAAAGCAGAGTAAATATGGATCAGATGCAAAACCTTTCTGATTTTTAAATTTCCAATAGATCATTTCCAATTATCTCATGTCCCATGTTATATGTTAAGACAATTGACTTTAAAGGCATATAATCCCACTGATGCAAAGAATATGGCACTTTCCCACTGCAGGCATTTGCCTTTCAGACAGGGTAACACTGCTGTGTATAGAATTCTGTTTGTGTCTGTGAGAAAATGTCTGTGCTATATTTGTCTTGTCAATACTCCAATTTCTTAGTTTGAAGAAAGCAAAAAAAGATCAACACATTTTCTACATTATGAACACTTCAGAAAATGATTTTTCCATATTAAATGCAAGTGTTAGACAAGCCTAAGGTTATAAACACTGCTAATCACAACTTATACAATACTCCCATGCTAAATCAGTGCAAAGCTGTCCTCCTCGCTCATGTCTGGCAGTAAGGCTTCTAGGCTTCCATTCAGCTCCACACTAATGAAATTGATTGTCCCACAAGATACAACTCCATTTTGTACTAACTGGTTCTTAGATTTATTAGGGAGGCTCCTGTTGGGGAAACCTTTACAGTTTGTTTCTATATTTTTGTTTTCTGTTGCATAAAATAAGCATACTTTTTAAACTAACTTTCTGTTATATGATGGGCTCACGTTATTGCTGGTGCAGATGAATACTGCTACAGTCAGTACCATGTCACTGAAGACTCTGATACTGAGGAGACTTCACCAGGTCTCCTATGGAGCCTGGAAGTCCTACAACAGGGATAATGCCTATATTCCCCCTTGTCTTTTCAACTGCATCTTCAGGAAGTTTAACACAGGCCGGGGTGCCACAGCCAAGCCTCCCGTTGCAACTAATAATCAAATCAATGACTGTGCTGCTAGGAGAAGTTTTTCATGCATTTCGCCAGCATACAATGCGTGAAGCCAAATACACGAACTTGAAACAAAATACTCAGTTCCTGGTTCTAATGCATACAAAAAGGAATAAGTGAAGCCCCAGGTTTGCATTTATTCTTTCTTCTCCTTACAATTTAAATGTTATGGTTAAGCTTTCTGTTTCCCTCAGTACCATTCAGAAGCAGGCTTTGAAATCCCATGACACTTTATGCTGGTGAGTAAACAGCCTCATAAATCCCCATATTCCAGACAGATTTACTGGCCCTTTCATGGAACGTCCTCTGAACCCCTCCACCCCTCCAGTTCATTATATGTTTCCAACATAAAAGCAGGATGCTTTTGTTATTAAAAATATTTTAGTTACAGGAGGTCTTTACAATAGCTTTGGCACATCCTGTACATTCTCCAATAATCGCATAAGAAAAACTTTTTTTTGGCTCAAGGTCATTTTCATGTCCTTTATCATCAATGTACTTTGTCTGCTCTTCCTTTTTTAAGGCTCCCCTGTTTAGTGCATTCAGCCGAGCTTGCAAATTTTCCAGCTAACTAAGAGACGCTTTCTTTATTAAATTTTCCAAATGGGCTGGAACTTCTGCAAGAAAGGTCCCTTCTGAACTATTGTCTCTGTGTCCAGTTCAAATTTAACAACAAAACACAGATCAGTATTCAGAATGAAGTAGAAAACAATTTCAAAAACTTAACCAAATTCTCTGGGGCTTTAAGTAAATATGTAATTAGAGCTTGGCTGAAGTCTAGGCTTGCTTCTTTTTTCATCCAAACTGTTTATTTCTCTCAGGCTTTTCCTTGGCTCGCTCTGTGACCTCACCTTTAATGTGCTGTTCAGCATTCGAATTTTGTGGAGTTTCTCATTAATAGAGGGGTTTTTGCTGCGTTTGATAAATGACTTCCTAAGCTCCTTCTTCGTTGACAGCCGACGATCACCAATGGGAGACAGGCTTGCTTGTTCTAATGACTTGTAAAGTCGCTCCATCTCATCATCATCACATTTTTCCTGGTCTGCAAAGAAAAGAATAAATGGGGTATGAGAACATGAATATGACAGCAGATAGCAGAAACGTTAAGTACAGCCATCAGAAAGGCACTTAGCCAAGTCAAAAAGTAACAGTATTAGAGTTAAAACCAAGGGCAATTTTTAGGGTAATTTATACGGTATTAATGCATATGAGAAAGACATACTACCAAACTCAAATGTTTTTGAGAATCAGGTCATAATCTAAACAAATATGAGCATGTATTTCCACTGATAGAGTGCTGTTTTAATGCTCCAAATATATCACAGACTTTGAACAACTGTCAGTAATGCTACATTTGAATGAAAACTACTTTGATAACATCTACACCCATTGACCTTTTCCCTACACATTTCTACCTGGCAACGCACAGGTCAAATTCTATTTGGTGTACCAATTCATCACCAGGTTTTGGTAATTATTGAAACGAGAGTTTAAAAAAATTGAGCAATGAAATGAAACGTAGGAATATTTCAGGGGCCCCAAAAGAAGGTCCCTAGAAAACAGATTAAAGCAGAAACCGTTGGGGCACCTGATGGTTAACTGTTGCTGTTCACAGATTGCAGCATAGAATTTGTGGTGCCTCACAACAAAGCCTCGATTATCTCCACCTTAATTATTCTGATGGCTCCCAACCTGCAGCACCATCTTCCATGACAGAGAGGACATGAAAGCTAGCAAACAGCTGAGAATGAAATAGCATAAAATAAGATAAAAAATTGAAGCAAAGACATTTTTTCAGAATAAACCAACTAAAAAATTAATAGTCAGAAACTAAAAAGGTACCAGGCATATATAGGGGCATTTGGCAGAAGGCCATTTTCAGCAACAGACTGCATAACTTGCTTCTTGTCCCTCAGTCCACACTGCAAGCTTTTCTAATTCAGTGTTTGCTAAAGGAAAAATCTTAAAGTTGTTGGTGTTTTCATGGTACTAATGAGTCCCTCAAGATCCACTGGGATAACATTCATTTTTATTTCACTGGGGATGGTGGTGGTGGTTCTTCTCAACTGCAGTCCTCCATGGGCTAGTTGAACTGGCTGGGCATTTTTTCCGTTAATTAAAAGTTAACCATTGACTTTTCTAAATCATCTTCAGTCAGCAAACATTTTCTGAACAAAAAGAAGAAGTCCTTTTGCTCACTCATGCTCTAGCAAAAAGACTTTTCCAACATGTCAGCACACTTAGGAGGCTGCTCCTTATCTTTTTCATGTTTTAAAAAGTACAGCATCCTCCTACACCCCTGTTCTTTCTAAATATTTAGGTTACAAGAAAGGTTTGTGATATGCTACAAATATTTGCCTTCACTGTGTTGCTGGCCTTTTTTTCACTACTTTGTGATTATAAAAAGCCTGCTGTAACTTGACAAGAACTAAATATAGCTTCCAACATTGGTACAGTGCTGGAGGAGGAAAAGGAGAACTGTTGTATATTTAACAAGCTGCAGGAAATAAAAAAAAATGCAAGTGTAAGGCATAATACACGGCAGCAGTATTTCCTGAAAACTGTTGGCTCATGCCATGAGGCTCGTAATCATAAGTAGCTTCCTGCCTAATTTCTTGGGATGAAGCAGCTGTTTGTTTCATTAGCCAGCTCCTGCACAGGATGGGCTCAGCTCTCCTGTAGATAACACCCGTCAGGACTGTGCACAGTATCACTTTGAGAGATAAATTGACCTTTATCAGATATCCAAGAAAGAGTATATAAGAAGAAAAAAAAAAAAGTATTGATCCCGTCCAGCAGCTTTAAAAAATAGTCAAGCCCTGGGGTACATGAGATCCCTGCCGCAGATATTTTTTGAGGCTAACTCATGATGCTCCTCAGTGTCCTAAAAGGGTTACAAAGCAGCAAGCATGCGAAAACACCCTTGCTGAACACTCTTCTTCCATGCTAAGTACTCTGATATCTTCTGTGCAGTTGTGGGTGAAGGTAAGGAGGACAGCAATACTCAACACAGAAAAGGATGGAGCCAAAGCCAGAAAAGCCCAGCAAAAGGCTCCCAGACAATGCACTTGACCAGCAATGTGCACTCAGCTCCTGCTTTCTTTCAAGATTGCAACCTTAAACTCCTCTCCTATTTCTTATTCTTCCACCACACCCACCCCCTAAAGGATTCATCAGGGTCAAGTAATTTCAGAGGGAAAGGAATGTGCGAGATTCTTCAGAGTGGCTGCATAAAGGGAGTGACAGTGAAGCGGCTAAATGGGATTTCAGGAAACAGCTGGAAAACAAGGGTGAGTGAAACCTGCAGGTGGCGTAAAGCCAGGGGAGAGTCACTTAGTACTTTTGTCTCCATCTTTGTTTACACTGATGAGCAGTGAACTTCTCCCACAACAGTTAAAAATAACAAAACAGTATCTTAATATTGTGCTTTTGTATAGAAGCAGATACTGTTGCTACTGACAAAGAGTATGTCTGCCAATAAACCTCTATAAATTGAGGCCAGACTGTCTGATACCTATCTGGGCTTTTGCCTTCAACGTCCTGAGTTCCCCTGAGCCAAGCTCAGAAAGCAAAAGCCCATATTTTGCAGGCTTGAAGCTGCCACTGAACACACTAGATTGATGCTGTAAATCTGAAAGGGGGAGAGGCATTATTTCTAGCAATCAATTAATAAGACCAGTAAAGTGATCTGCAATAAGAAAACATATTTCTTCTCACTCAAACAATGGTGCATTATGGTATTTCACAAGCCTCTTGGTGCCACAAAAGTAAATGAAGAAAGCACTACCTATAGTTTGCTTTCTTGTTTTCACCACAAAACATCCAATTAAGGTTGGATAATAGAGAGCAAGCAACCTGACTCAAGCCTTAAGCACAGACTGAACTTTTTCTCCAGATTCAAATATTCGCAGCACATTTTCCCAGAACTTGGTATTGCTTAATTCACTTGCACCTGGAGTCAGAGCACTGACCTGCAGATGAGCAAGTCCCTAGCAGAAGCAGAGGCATTCACCAGTTCCGTATTTAGGCTTCAGTGACTTGGATTCCTCCTATGAAACCTGGGCTGTCTAGACTATACTACTGGATTTTTACAAAATATTTGCTTTGCATCGCAAAGTAAAAATTTATGCTAAAAGCACATAGTACTCAAGTTCAGGCACTGGTGTAAAAATGAACAGATTGTCTGTGTCAGCCTCTCAAAGATAAATGCACCACCCCTACTCTGAACTTTAACCTCAGGACGCTTACAATGATGAATATATTCTGTTGGTAAAAATTTTTAATAACATGCACAGGTTGGGCCCCACTAGCACTCCTCTGAAGGGAATCTTTCCAGCTGGGTCACACAGCTAACATCAGGCACATGCAAAATTACTTCAAAATACAATATTGCAAGTTATCTCTTCCACCAGTACCCTTCAAGCTAAGCACTTTCTCTCTCAGGCATGCAAGTTAGGAAACTGAAATGCTACTACAGCACTTCTTTATCACATCCTATTCTGAAGATAAAATACATTCATTTTTCTCTCAGGACCTACTGAAGGATTAGTGGTAAGGAACAAATGGCAACAGTGGAAGGATATTACATATTGTGTGCATTTATGAGCGTAATTGGGGGGGGGGGGGAACATGTGCCTTGTGCACTTTTCCCTTCCCTTGGCAGTATTAACTATAAGCAATTCTGTTGGGTGATGCCACTGGAAGGATCAGTCTTCCTGGGCTCCTGCACCATGCCCTTCACTCACAAGCCTCGCAGCCTGCTAAAGCTTCATAGCACTTCTGGAAAAATTCTGTAATATTGTGTAGCTCTTTTAACTTTGTCAGACTCCACAGCAAGGAAAGTGGAAAAGAACCAGTGCTGACCTGAGGAAAAGGGAATTCCCACCCTAAGATATTTTAACATTCAAGAGACAAAGACCTTCTAGGTTGGGGTGAGAAAAATAAAGTAATATTTCAGGCAAGTCAGAACTTCTGACAAATTCTGTTTCAGAAGTAAAACACAATTTTGTGGCTTGATGCCACTTATCTGGAATTTCCCTCTAACTAACAGAAGATATCATAGACAAGAGCAAGCTGCCAGAGGTTCAACATGCCAGCTCTTCACCTCCTCAATTTTCAGCGTCCCTATCCTGTCGGCCAACTTGTCACAGGTGGGAGACATTAAGGTACTGAGACTCCCCATCTTGCAGCAGCAATACAGGACCCTGCCTGAAATCTCAACTTTAATTCTCTTTAAGCCTACAAAAGTGAAATTATCCAGAACTTTTCAAAAAGCAGCTGTGAAAAATCAAGCTGATTGTTTCCCAGTGGTAAAGATATCAAAATTGGCAATGTTTGGCAGAAAGAGCATTTTGCATGGAAAGCCACCTTCAGCAGAATATGTCTTATTAACTGTAAGCTGAAACATAAATACTTGTTCTCGCATTCTCTAACTGAGATCTCACAGCTCTCCAACTGTGTATTAATCCCAGGAAAAAAAAAAAAAATCTGCTTCTTCCTCCTGTTTTTGCTACTCTTATGAGGTTCTTGTGGCTGTGCCAACACGCCTGTTTCTGCTTCTCCCAAAACCTTTGATGCCCGTGGGACAACATATAGACCCAGGCTGGGGAGAGGACAGGGAAAAATGATAAACCGCTTTTGCCCTACACACCACCCCACACCCATCCATTCTCCATAGTGGTAGCAGACTTTTCAATGGGAATACGATGAAACCTCGAGGAAATCACATTTTCCACAGAATTACAGAACAGAAAAGACAGGAAGTATTTGAATTAGGAGGGCATAGCTTAGGCAAACTCCTCACTGGCAAATGTAGAACTAAAGGTAGGAGACAGTGGGAGAAAATAACAGGAAAAGTATGTTTACCACCAACAGGTAGATGCTTTTGACCAGTATAGTGGACTCAGCAGTGAGGGATGCCATTTTAACAAACTGTGACTCAACTGGAAACAACACAAATAAGTATCTCTTCCAGAGTGTTCAGAAAACCGTAACGCCATAACTTTCACAGTGATTTCTGAAGCCTTTTCGATGAGTAGCAAAATAATAATTCAAACACAGTTGTTTCTCTACATGGTTGTTCTCACTATAGGCATATTTCTTGGCTAGTCTCAGCCACAATCTAGCCATTTTCTGTAACTTTTGCAGAAGGAACAAAGGGCCCAGAGCACACCAGAGGATCTGTTCTGGCTATTACTGGCACAGGCAGACTCCAGAGGGGAAGAGGATGTCAGTTCTGAGAAAAGAAGGAACTGACTGCATCCAGCTCCTATTTAACCAACTCCTTCCCACAAAACCAACCCAGATAAAATTCAAGCAGTGTGTGAAAAGCTTTCCACATTTTTCAAAATATCGGCACGGCCCAGATCTTCTACCAGCTACTGTGAGCTAAGGTGAAACAAATAAACCAGAAGTGGTACAATAAGAATTCCTTGCCAAGACGCATTAACTTCACATGATCATAAAACCCTCAAAAAATGCAAGGAAGAAGGATGTTATTGCTACAGTAGAAGATCCCTAGTTAAATACAGACACATATTCCTGTGTTCTTATAGTAACCTCTCAGTTTCTGCAGCTTCCTTTTGTTGGCATAGTTTTTGATGATTGTGGTGGTGGGTCATAGTCAGATACTGTTTGTTCCAGCCATTGCCAGAAGAAATACGAAGGGTTGAGTTTGACTGCAGAGTGTGTCATCCCAGACAGGGCAAGGCCAGCTTCTGCATATAGAGCACGTAGTCAGATAGTTGTTTGTATTCTCAACCGGTTTTGTTTACCTTTCAGTTTCTTTGTGACACAGACAGCTTTGAATCCTTTGTCATTGTGCATGTAGCAAGCTGCAACATGGAAGTATTAAATATTCCCTCAAGGTAAATGGAAACATAATGCTGATCTTTCAAAAGAGAGAACTGTTAAACTCTCCTTTTTTGTACCTTTGTATTACCCTCTGGTATGTAACCACTCCCCAGTAATCGACGCTGAGAATTAAGGCTGAGAATGGTCATAACACCACTAAAAGTGGCTGGAAAGGTCGTTAGAAATATCATATGGTACAGCTCCTTGCACCAGCCACTTACAGTTCCTTAGCAGATTTCATTAAATAATTTTCATTGAAATAAAATCCATGATCATTTATTTGAATCTGTAGTTTCTCTTCCAGAGATTCATCCATTTATCTCTAAGAAACTTTGTCTTCATTGTTTAACTCATCACTGAGGTTTCTTCACTATTTTTGTATTTTCATGAGAAGCTCTTCCTACAAAGCCACAGCTACTCTTTCTTTCTTCTAGGTACCAACTTTTCTCACTTTCACCTCTGTTTCTGACTTTTGCCAACAAAAGTGCTCTTCAGTTCTTGAAGACTTTCACCTCAGCTCTAGGCTGCTATCAGCTACAACCAAAAATTCCTCATGGTTTGTTTTTTTTTTTTGGCCACAAAGCAGAGCGTGTGACAGGTTTTTTCTGTCCTCACAAGGAGAAGGAGAGAGCATGGACACACATTAAGGCTCTGTGGGGAGTGGGTTCAAAGACCACATAGCTGTTCTGATAACAGCAAGACCAACTTTACGGACACGGGACATGCACTTTCAGGACAGATGCTGATGCAAGACGGACCTGTCTCCTCCTGGACGCAGTCTCATTACTCTGAACCACGATGAGCTGTCAGAAATGCACTATTCAGAAGTGTTGTAATGCAAATAATACAGACTGCACTGAGGTATGCATTCTTGTTTTGCATCAGATAACAAGTTCTTACTAGCTATTGTAAATCATGAGGTTTTGCAGCTAACTTTTACTCCACAATTTGGATTCATCTCACAGTATTTGTGTACATCCTTATCAATTAGCTGGCGGGGGAAATTCTTGGGGGATAAGCCACAGAACTGGAATTGCATCCTTTTTGATAACTTTCATTTGGAACTGAATTACTGTTTTATATTAATCCTTTTTTCCTCCTCATTCTCAAACTGAAGTAGCTTAACTAATCTCCTTGCAAATTATTTATTTTTTCAGTGCCCATTGCAAGGGGTGGGGGGGACAACCCCACACACCGACACTCTCCATCTCATCCTCATACTATGCAGACTGATAAAGGAAAGAAAAACGCATGTATGGCATACGTCTTACTTGCTCAACAATGAGTTATGATGCAGACAGTAACTAGGGAGGTTGTACAGTTTCCATAGTGACCGACTCATTGAAATGATCTATTTCTGGAATTCCATCAGAGATCACCAGTGTGGTTAGAATGGAAGTGTTCTGCGGTCAGGGTTGGCCATCAGCTAAGCAGTGAGCAATGGAAGAATTCATTTCTCCAGGAATATATTTGGGAAAATTAAGCCACCTTGCAAATGGCCGGAAGATACCAAAATGTGCTTTGATTTACATTTTAATCCAATTTTTATTGGTAAGTATTACTGAGTCTGCCAAACTGTGCTTTAAATGATTATGAACATGTCATGCTAATTCTATGACCATCCATAAAAGTACTTGTCACCCTTACGTTATGATGGAAAGCATTAACCCATGCATTATTGCAGGATTGCTGACAATACCAGAATAACATATTCTAAGCAAAAGTTTAGATTTCTGAAGAGCAATCGCTGAATCTTGCTCCAAGGTATCTATAAGGCACCATGCCGTATATGGCCTACACTCCAACAATCCACCTGAATGTACCTAATAATGTTTCCCAAAGGCATTACTTGGTCAAATTACAAAAGGCAGTGCATTTACTACATCTTTGTGACATTTTAATTAGGGACCCCATTTCTGCCAGCCCCAGCCATTTCACTACTTGCAGTGCCAGAGCTTATGGGAATTAGATTCTACAGGAACTCTCAAAACATCCACTCTTTTCCGCCACATAGAAATACTACATGTGCTCACTCTCAGTTTTAATTCTTACTGATCTTCATTGCTACAGAAGTCTCTAGGAGAGCAGCCTAGAAGATGGATAATGAAACTGAGTGCAAAATACTCACTGAAATTAATTTTCACTTTTGTTAAAATCTGTACTTTGCTCAATTTCCGTTTTGTTTTTTTTTTTTTTTTTGTAAAATCAGAAAAACATATCACAAACTAAACAGGTGCTAACTGTTGATATCTGTAAAACATTTGGGACACTGACAATGTAACTAATGTGCCTTCTACTATCATTTCTGTGATTCAGCTCTCAGTGCCCAGTTCACCTACAAATACCCTAAGTTCCCAATGAGTCCAGTGCTGTTTCTTTCCATCTTTGCACTACCTTCAGCCTAAGCTTTCGGATGCAGCTTTGTTTTGCATTGTTCTGAGACAACACTGCTCTTTCAGCAAAGTACTCACTTCAAATCTTTATGATTTCGAATCACGGGTAGAGCCAATGCACAAGAACATCATTCCTTCCTTATGTATCACCTCTCTAGGCAGCATGCTGAGTATCTTCTCATTTCAGCATGTTGTATGCCAGAAACGCCTCTTATGGTTCAACTGCTTTTAGTGTAGGAAGAAGCAGCTTTGCTCAAAAGGCAAGACACATTGCCTCGCTATGGTAGGAGAGTTATTAATAGTAACAATGACCAAATTCTGGAACTGTGCCACCTTTTTAATTTAGCAGTACATTTCGGTAGGAAGATACCTATGGAGATACCCATTTGCTTAAACAAAATCCACTCTTAATAGACTTTCTGATTCAGGATTGCAGTTGTTTCCCCTTGATTACAATGAAGCTCCATGAAACAAATAGGGAATACATACTGGAAGTAAATGCAACTGCTTTTATTTTTAAAATTGGATTGACCTAACCCCATGTTCACCACTTCCTACATATATCATTTTGATTAGGGTGTCAGTTCAGTGACACACTTTCTTAAAATTTTTATTCAATCCTAACTAATCAAAAAGACAGCTGTACTGAAATAAAGCAAGCTAATAATATATGTCTATGTTAGGATTTTATACAGAGGCTATGATCTTAACATATATTAACAATATTAACAAATTTGAGGAAAGCTGTAAAGGTACTTACCAATTAGATACTAGGTTATATATTTAATGCACAATAAACCAAATGTTTGTTATAAATTACGTGCCCCTGGAAAACTCTTCAGCGAAGAACATAAAGGAAGGAAGGGGAAAGGAAGTTGAGGAAAACCCCTGAACTCCCAACATTGTATGACTGCAGACAAAAATCTCCTCTCTCATTAGCTCACCTTTGGCTAGTGATCTCTGTCCTGTTGCATCTGGCACAGCTAGACAATGTGTATCCGGACCTAAAAAAGAGTTTTGGGATCCACCACTGGGTTTGGAAAGCTGGACCTCCTGGCTTTCTGCCGCTTCTCCACAGTCTACTTCTGGCGGCTCATCAGAGTGAATCTGTACACAGAAAGTTAAAGGCTGATCACCTTCTTCTGTCGCAAAGCTGTTAACTAGGTCAAGCCACGACTGCCTCTCGGAATAAACCACTTTGGACGTCAAGGAAGACGACGACTCTTGGGAGTTGAAAGTGCTTTCAGAAGAGGAGAGAGAACAAGATGCTTCACTGGACAGAGTCGAGGTGAAAGAAGACTTCTGCTGATCCTGCTTTCCAGAAACAAATGGGGAGCAGGGGGAAGAAAAAAGAAAAAATATTTCCAAGTTGTTCCTGTTCCTAGGCTTTACACATTATATATATGCAGCTGAAATCTTAACTGACCAAAAATTCATGTAATCTGACTAATTATTGATCCAAACAAGCTTTAGGTATGGCAGCCAAACTCCTACAGAGCTGTAACTTCAGAAGCTAAGCCACAAGGAGGCCAGAGGTAAAACAGATAAAAACCTGACAATTCCTAGAAACAAAAGATCGAGAAAAAATATTGTGTTGAATGTAGCCTTCCATGCTAGGTCTCACACTCACATTCACTCTTTACTTTGTCTTCACTTTATTGGTCTAATAAAGAGTGCAGAAGAGAAACTCTGAATTAGCCATTGAACATGAAGTTGTCTTGAAGCACTCCATAAATCCACTAATGTCATAACTATGGACAGAAATGGGCCCAAGCACTGAAGTACCTTGGCATTCTCAGCACACAAAGCCATTTTACCTGGTCCATTCAAGGGACTAACCATTCACCAAGGCAGGAAGGCTGATGGGTAATATGACAGCAAGTTAATGGCAGAAAGAAAAAACAGACAGCCAGGGGGCAGAAGGCAAGAAAAGAGCAATGGTACAAGATTTGTGCTGCTCGTTCACCTGTTAAGATTCGTCCTTCAGCACATGAATCTGGAAAGGGAGCCAAGCTTCACTAGAAACACATCAGAAATCATTAAGACATCCTAGGACCCTCCATACTGTACTTGTCACCCTGCTTCAACAAGAGCACATACAGCCAGAGAGGTCTCAGAGACATCTGTCATCATTAAGGAGCTAGGAGTTGAATGAAAGAGGGTATGATAGATGCACAATTCCATGTAAAGAAGAGTTGAGAGAAAGAACAGAGTTTTGAAAAGTATTTAGCTTCCCAGACTAGCAAATAGATGCCTAAGTCTTTGTCTACTGTAGGCATTTACATTGACTGAGTTGTACTGTTATCTGGTCACCAAAAGCAACTCACACAAGAAGAACTAACACTAGTCTGCTTCTTAGCCACCAAACACCACTGAAAAGATGAGCCAAGAGAGTCAAATATAGAAGTAATACATACACAAACACACAAGTATACATACGAATACCCAGAAGAGGATTAATTGACAGTAATAAATAAAGTAATGGAAGACAAGGGGAGACAAATCCTTATGACGAAGCTCTTAGCAGAAAATATCAGAAATTGTGACGAGATCATCATGATATGAAAGCCAGATTTCTTGTATCTGCTACTGCAGAAATTTACTCCTCCTGCAAATCATCTGCTACTGGTCAATGCCAGAATCAGAATACAAGACTTGATGGACCACAATTCTGGCAAGTTTATGTTCTCAATACATATGTAGAATAGATCTGTGTAAGGATTAAAACAGATTATAACTAAACGGAAAGTACTGAAAATTACTGAGAAGGTGTTGCTAGGGAAACCCAGACAAGCTGCAAACACAATAAAGGCACCAGCCTGGAATACTTATTAATAACTAGAAATAAGATGTATTCACATAAACCAAACCAAGAATGACTTTTTTTGGATTAGGATAAATAAAATTCTGCAATTCAGTGTTGCTGTAATGTATATTACTTCCTTTTTACATTACAAAAAGTAAAGTAGATTTGCCTTCCTGTGCTTCTGATCTAGCTGTATCATGTAGCTACTAATCAATTCAGAAGATGAGGAGGACCGATACCAGATTGTGGGTCACCATTTGTTTGTAGCACTTCCTTCACTTTTGTAAATTTTCAAAGCCATTCCTCCAAGACAGTCCCAAACACTGCGGGACCAGACTTAATTTACATTCCTATTACGAGAAGTACAACATTGTGTTTCAGGTGCATTTTTGTTTTTAAAAACGAAACCTTCACAAATGCACCCTAAAGCAAAGGACAAGGAGATGCTGTCATAAACTACACATATGAGTGATAAAAACGCTCTTGAGAACAGAGGTGACCTGAAGCATTTAATCTAAGAGTTCCTATTGCAAAGACAAACTGTTGAAGCATTTGTACAGCCAAGCAGAACAACTGAGCAGTAAAAGCTCTTGCTCACATGGTGTGGATGGTCTGATTTCAATTGTTCAAGGACAGAAAAGGAAGATGTTAGATCTCACCTCTATTTTTCTGGCATTTGTCCATGCAAAAGAAAGTGCCATTGATATTAAAACTGTGCCTCACTGAGTGGAATATATTTTTGTTTTCACTTTCATTGTGTGTTAAATAAAAAAATGTGGGTGAGAATAAAGATGGCTGCCAGAATGTGTTTCTCTTTCTCTACATATGTGTTTTGGTTTTTTTTTCCTTTGGTATGACAAATGTTTACCTAACTTACTCAAGTGGTTCCTTTGGAAATTTTGCAATCATCCATGTAATAATAAATCTCCATTTAGGGATATTTTAAAAAGCAGATGCTTGAGCCAGCAGATCACAAGGATTCCACTGGAGATCAATGAGTCTCTAGGCATTATTTAGAGAAAAATTATCACCATGAAACACCTCAACTGCTCTTTTGGGACTGCTGCAATCTATTGTCTCAACATAGCTGCTGGTTCTTGAACTGTAAATCCATTCACATGTGGAGAAATTAATGGAGATGGTCAGTTTAACTTTTGTCCTACAGATGTTAAAATTTACTTGTTCTTCTCTTGTTTTTTTCTTCCAGAGTACCCAAAAGCATGCATAAACACAGAAAGCTCATGATCACTACTTTTTTCCTTTTCAAGTTTCAAAATGGTCTGGGTCAGCAGAGAACAGAACAGCAAGTGAAAACTTTGTGCTAGAAGTACAGCAAAATGTTTGCTGCTCTGACATGTAACAGAGCTTGCACCTGGTTGGCTATTACTTTCCAGACTATTCGTTTTCAGTCTGGAGTTGATCTCAGGAAGTTTGGAGACCTTTCTGCTTAAGACAGCATTGGTTTAATTTTCCAAAACGTCCATAGCTCCTAATTCCTATTTTGCAAAATCCCTTTGGCACTCAGAAGGAAGAAGGGCAACTTTAAAAAAAGATAAAAATAATAAAAAGAAATTAACCCCAGACAACGCCTGTGGCATTCTTGATGCTGGGCTGGGTTTCCAGGATGAGTGTCTCTTCCAGTAGCAATATCTGAAAAGATTCAAGCAGGCCTTCCAAAAGTGTCATCATATGTTTGGAACCTCACAGCTTGGTTCAAGAACTCTGCAGTGAATGAACAGGCAGCAAGCAATGTTTAACCAGCCTTCCCTGAGACAACCAAGAGCTCCACTCCTAGAATTGACTTCCCAGTGAAAGCTGTGCTTTCCCAATCCTTCCAGCGGTTTTCTTGCTCCAGTACTTGTCTGGAAGGGGGAGGGGCATTAAATTGGGTATTTAAAAGACAACTGACTTGCAGTCAAACACAGCTCCATTGGTACCTAACTACTCCCTACCCACCACATGAGCAAGCTGAGCATAAAGCAGACACGTGACAGCTGGAGCCACTTCTGGGGTGAAAAGATGACATCTTTGCTCAGGAGACACTCGCCTTTGTCCATGGGGGAAGGGCTTTTAAGCTGGGGATGAGAAGAAGGGAAATTGGCTGAGAGAGGTAGAGGCTGGAATGAAGATAACGTTTAAGGGAAAGGCTGAGGAAGCAGGACCCCTTGGCACATGCACCGTCGCCTGCCTCCCACACATCCCCTGCTAAAAGGTGGAGGCCAGCACTCAAGAAGAGCATACGGGAAGGAGGCAACTGGAGATCGCCTCTGCAGGAACAGACTGACAAGCAGCAGGAAGCCAGAAAAACAGAAAACTAAAAAACAGCACCTGTTTAAAACCCATCATCTGGAAAAATGCAGGCATTCACTCAGAGGTGAGCAGACGGAAAAGACATCTACAGCCTCTTAAAGGCAAGCCACTGAGGTATAAAATTCAAGACGCTTCATTATCGGCCCTCGGCCCAGAATAACTCTTGGAGACATATTGCCAAGGTTCCTATTTTCTCCAATATTTACAGCCACTCAGCCACATTAAACTTCCAGTTAATACAGGCAATAAAGAATCATGTTTTACACAGCAGTGAACACCACGCACCCCCCAAGTGCCAGGTGGATTGTTTTACAGTGATTAACATTACACAACTGTTTCAGGAGAGGAAGTGAAGACTGACTTATCTGACTGAAACAGAAGGGGGCAAGTGGGTGACAGTGTGACATACACTCCCAGCTTTATGCAACCTAATTAAAGACTGCCAGACAGGCAACCCTGTGCATGACATCTCCTTTTATTATTGCCTGTGACTGCACAAGCTTTTCCAGCTCATCTATATTTTTCAAATTTGTTCCTGCTTCACTGCCTCTGTGCCCACCCCAGCTACTGGATGTCATTTCAGCGTACCATACAGGAACCTGTACCACACCAATGAGGCAGCAGATGCTTCCCTTCCATGAGATGCAATGAGATGATTTAGTACTAAGTATATTACTGCATCTGCATACCCCTCGATGTTGACTTTCAGCTGAGGAAGGGAAAGACTTGAACTCAGGATTCCTTATTTCAGCTGCATTACCATCCCAAATCAAATTACTCATTTCTAAACACAGAATTAAGTAAACCTCATATCTTAAAGCACATGTAAGGGGAGATGAGATCACTGGGAAAAGCAACAATATAGAAACAAGATTAATAGGGTGATGAGTGTCTAATAATTAGGCAAGTCAATTTGATTAGACAAATGAGGGTGCATAGTGCTTATTCTAATTTATGAAATGAAGCAAGGCAGGAAGAAATATTCTGGACAAACACTCTACAGCAAGAGAAAAAGAATATAGATTTTGGGAGGACGCTTATTTTCTTTTTTTATAGTCTATTTTTCAGAGGTAGAGGAAAAGAACCGATTTTATCACCATAAGAAGAGGCGTCTTTCCCTTCACTTCTCTTCACTGCCACAAAAGCAGCTTCAAATTCAGCAGTCTTTAGAACAGCTCACTCAAATAAATAAATACAAATCTGTTGGATGATGCTACCAGAGTCACAAAAAGAAAGAAGATTTGGGACTGATTAAAAAAAAAAAAAAAAAAAAAAAAAAAAAAAAAAAAAAGTATGAAAAACTAGGTTATGGCAGTGTGTTAAAAACCTTGTAAAGAAAAGACATGGCATGCATATGAGATAGAGTGACACTTTCGTTTCTCGAGCGAGATAAATATACCTCCATCTGAGGGAGCTGCTCTTTGCGGTGTGAGGCTCCCAGCAGTACAGGCTGCAATAACTGTGCGCTCTGCCATGGGGCAGGGGCAGTCAGTGTATCCTCATTTCACAGGCATGCAGGGTGAACATTTCCAGCTGCTGTTTTAGGTTATTCCTCAAAGGTCCACCACCTCAAGAAAGTTTTGTTCCAATTGGCTAGCAACTAGACACAAGCTAATTATTGTAACACTTACCGAAGGAGGAGGTGGTGGTTGGACTGTGTAGGGGGGAGGTGGTGTGTCTGTTATTTCTGGATCATCATGTTCACTTTCGCTGTAGCATTCTGAGGCAGACATGGAAAATGAGCAAAAACAAAGTGTTAGACCAACACTCGCTTATTCTTTGCAGCACTGTGGTAACCAAAGATCACCAAGTAGGATGTTCTGGGCTGAGGACCACACTGTAACAAGTCAGTGTCTCCTACAGTGAAAATTAACCCACTTGTGGCAATGCTACACTACTTCATGGCAACCTTTTTTCTTTTTTTTAGGTCAAAAAATTTGCTAATTTGCTACGGCAGGAAACACTAGGTGGCACTGCTCTAGACAGCTTCACATATAGGTTTGGTATGGGTTTTTTTTTCTTCCTTTGCAGCCTTTAAAAGAAAGGCTGCCTCATTTGTGGTGTAAGTTAGGGAAACCCATTGCAAGTAGTAGATGCTGTCCCTTAATCTCTGTAACCAGTAAGTTTTCCTGGAGCTAGCAACAGGCATTGGTGTTTTGGCTGCAATTTGGGAGAAAATGGATTGCTCGCACAGTGCTTTGGAAACCATAGAGTAGCCTCATGAAAGTCTTCTGTCACCACATGGTAACTCACATAGGCACGCCATGCAGCATGGCAGTTCATGTGCAGAGCTAGTACTAAAAGTAAGCACAGTACTCTAGGACTATACACCCCACTCATCTTTTTTTTTTTTTTTAATAAAAAGCAAGCTGATAGAGTCTTAGTATCTCTTGACATGTGGCAGAGAGACAGTCATGTTGTTATTTCTTTCAACCACCTGTGAAGCAGGTGAACACATTTTCTTAGATGCTTTCTAAAAGTTAATTAAATGAAGTGTTAATCATTGATAAAATGAGACACAGAAAAGGGGAGGCAGTAAGTTGCTGGCTCCTATTCCCAGGACCTGCCTGTAACCACTGGGCCAGATCACTTCCCTCTGCTAAATCTCCTGGCACGCATCAGCCTTTCACATCCAGCCTTTATAGGAGCAAGCGCTTGTGTTCTGCCCTGCACCATGTGTAAAGGGTGACAGCGCTCACACCCCCACGACTGAGCTGCGGATATGAAAGTTTGCAAAGACATAGTTGGAGCTTAATGACGGCAACATGAGTGAGTGCCGAGTGTCACGAGACCAGAGGCTGCCCCTGTGGCCGGCCCTCTGCACTGCCTCCCCCTCCGCCAGCTGCATGCAGCGGCTTGTGCTGCCCAAGAGCAGCTGGGTCTCTCCAGTGGAAGCAACCCTCCAGCTCCCTTCCCAAGCAGGCAAGAGTTGTTTATGTTCTGGGAGTACTTTTTAAGAGCTGGACTTCATGGGTTCACCCCCCTAGAAAGCAGTGTGCTAGCACGGTCTCCGGAAAATCACCTGTGATTATCTCATCTTTTCACTAAACTAATGCCTGCACTTTCTTTTGAGGTCATGTCATTTGGGGGTTTTAATAAGCACAGTGTGAGGGCAACAAAGTTTTAAGAGAGAAGAATTTTATACATGAGAGAGGTTTCCAAGATGTTAACAAAGTGAAACTTAAAGAGATCATTGCTTTTTCTCCCCATACTGTTTGCAGAACTATAGGGTTTTTTAATAGCATAGCTGCTATTCTGTTTACTGGAAATATGTGCTGGCACATCTTAGCTTAAAGGACTGAGACTGGCTGCAATAAGGCCTATATCAAATTCTAAGGCTCTATTAATGTCTTCTTGAATAAGTCTTAGTAAAGAGCTTATTGTTTCTACAGGTCCCCTTTTAGGCACACAGAACTGAAAAAGAATCAACAGCTGTTTCTGATACTCTAAATAGGCAAATGGGGTTGGGGGGATGTTAAAATGCATAGAAAGTACATGAATACACAAGAACTGCCATAACAAAAGCCAAGACCCTCCTGAAGAGTTATGGTGTGTGATACAGAGGGGAGAACCAGGCCAGCAGGAACAGAGGTGACTGTGGGTAATGACAGTGTTTTTCTGAAAGATAGCGATGCCTCTGCGAGGGCGCATCCACCCAGGTGTGTTGGTGGGGTGCTGAACCCATGCTCAAAGCAGCTGCTGAAGCACCTGTGACAAAACACGTGTGGAAAGATGAGGAGGTGTTTGAGGTGCCTTTTTCTGAAGAGGAAACGGGCCACGAGCTTCAAAAGCTGAAGAAATCTTGGCTACGTTATGTTTATTGCAGAGTAATTAGATAACCTGCTGCAGAGGTTATCGAGTGGACTATTGTATATCTTTCTGTCATTATTTTAATTAAGATTAGTGGGCTGACTCATTTTGAGTTGTTTTATAATTCTCCACTCAGTCAACACAACCAATACTACATGTTTTGAGGCTTTAAAAAAAATTAATTAGTTTTCATGTATAGAATTTTGACTATCCTCATCTTCCATCAAACTCTTCCTTTGTGAAAACATGGACATGTTTGGACACTCCCATGCAGTTCTTGGTACACAACCTAATACTCAATATAGCCCTTTATCCTAATTATCTCAGACTGTTTTGATACAAAATTGGGTTCAAAGAGGACACAGGCATTTTGGAAGAATTTGGGGGTATGAAAATTAACAAGTTTCCTGACAAGAAATAAAGAGGAACCATGAACTGAAAACAAAGAAATTGATGAGACCTGCTGAATCTCCAGAAATCAGTGGTATCTATGTTTACCAGCCCCAAAGCTGCTTTTAATGGCAGAGTATAAATGGAGCTAGAGTATAAACAGAACCAGATCAGACTAATCAATAATGGCATTATATGTCCAAAGCCTGAATATAAACCACAAACTTATGCTAGGAAACAGCAGAAGGGATGCAGAGAGGAGCATTTCAGTGCTTAGACAAAATGGCTGCATCATCTAAGTGTTCATACTACTACAAATACCAGTTTCTTCTTCATAATGCCAGCTCCTTCACAATCTGAGCATTCTAAAAAAGGCACTGGGTACCAGGACTCTAAAAATGGAGGGTCAAAAGCCCAGAAGTAGATACATATTCCTCAGGTCAGAGTCCATCCCTGGTTTGCTAACATAATACTACCTGCAGCACTTCTCATTCTAAACCAGCTCCCATCACGCGTGTCCTCACCAGCAGCTTTTGAAGCACTCTGACAGGTGACTTGCTTTGTCCTCTACCCAGATTTGTGATTCAAGTGCAGGTATCCCCCCACCAAAAAGTTCTGTTAGGTCAGTGTGCAAATTAAAACAATAAATAAATTGCTAAGGAGCTTTTAAAATTACTCATTCCACAATGAACTCTTGGGCTTGGAAATTGTAGGCTTCAGTACACCACTACCACCCCCACACCCCGGACATTGCTGTTGTCGAAACACCCAGAAACAGAGGAGACAGTAGGGACAGGTCTACATTACGCAAGATGTTCCGAAACTAGTGAGCTCCCGGGCCATAGCACAACTCCTGTAATACACCTTACCAACTCAAAACCCAGAGTAGCACAGCTGTTTCTCTTCCAACTTGGTAGGCTTAGCAAGCCAGCAAACTGCCAGAAAGTAGTTACACACCTCTCACAAGATCACTGAGTGTCTCCCAGTGGCACTGTTTCTCACCATTGTTTCTTTTTCTGTGATTACTCTGTGCTGTGTCAGTGTGGTTTCTCTGAGCAAAGTCGGTAGACAGACCCAAGTTGACAATTTAAAAGAAAGAAAAGAGCTGACAAAAATTTGGCCAAGCAAAAACTGTGAAGAACATGATGTAGTTACACACTGAAACCACCGTTAGGAGCATACCTTCCTCATTCTTCCCGTTGGGTGCCTGAGGGTCTACAGCCATGCCCAGCTTACTTAGCCACCTGTGTTTGAAACAGAGGAAAGATAGAGTTAGGGATACTTGCATGCTGTTAGGACAGAGTTTTGCCCCTTTTAGATGTGTTTGGCGTTACTCTATCTATTTTCATTAACCTTAAGACTAAATGTCAAAGTTTCCTTCTATTTCTTAGAGCATTCTCTAGTAAGGCACCAGTTACCTAAATACTAATACTCCCCATGGTGAGCAAGACTAGTTGCCTGGGACATCTTTCCCTGATCCTGAAAAAAGCACTACTGATGACCAAGGAGTTGTATTTGTGGAAGCTAAAGGAAAAGTATGTGTGCTATAACACAATGTCAGTGGCTTAGTCCTGCTGTTGAGGTGTCATCTTTCACCTCAAATGAAGCAAAAGGCACAGGAGCCATAGAAGACGATGTCAGCTGCCCTGGTCAAAGCTATTGTAACACAGTCTAAGAATCTAAGCCATTTAAAACTAGACTTTCTGACCATTTATACTGCTTCCTTTAACTCCCCATGTACTTGTGTTTTTCGTAAGTCTCACTTCCTGTGTTGGTTTAAGCTATTAACACACTTTTTTACATTTCTCTTCCTAGGTGGCTGCATTTTTCTAGTGCTAGAAACAATCCCTGGATATATTTTTTGTATATTGTGTTGGCCTGTAGGTCATTCAGATCTATCCAGGTTTTAAGAAACTAACAACTAAAAAAGCTCAAGCCTAAATAGGGAATGTATGAAGGGCAGGAATTAAGATTCATAACTCTGAAAAAACATTGTGTCTGATCTTGATTCTACCAAAGCAATAGGAAATTTGCTAGTAAGATCAGTGTCAAAGTAACTGGATTTTTAGACTGCAGTATGAACAATAGAGCCACATATCAATTCAAGAAAACAAAGTGTCATTTCTGTAAGAGTGGATTATTGACTTTCTTCTAACAGCTAATCATAACAGAATTATTTTTTAAATAAAAAAATCTAAACAAAACAAAAGGTTTGCCAAAAAATACAGGACTTCATTAACCACAAGGTCAGGCAGATCACTAGTAACTATGTGCAACAGGCCAGGTAAATGCATGCAGCTAGCCAGCATGCATTTACTTTTCATGTGTGCATGACAATGGCAAATACATGCTAAATTAGTGAAGCAAATGACCTTATTAATAAATCCACTGTTGATTTAATAGATACGTATGCATGAAGAGTTACAAAAGGTCATGATCTGTCAAGCATTTATGCACTCCAGTAACGCGACACATGCGAATGCCCCAGTGAGTTCAGTGGAACCACTCATATGCATATGTATTTGCGGGACTGGAGCCAAGAGAACAGATGTCTTTTAGTCTGTTTTGACATATGCGTGAGTATGCATGTACTTTATGTATTAAATGTGTGTATTTTATACTTTGCCAAGGAAAATATCATCAGTTACAACAGTGAGGAATTAGTATTAGTGCAGTATAGTGCAAGCTGCTCTAACACTAGGCTACCTAGCTTTAAGCAAAACAAAATTTACTTGAGAAGTGGAGTTTGAAGAAAATCATTCTGGGGGCATAAAAGGTGGGACACCTGCAGAGATTTCACTCACTCACTCACTCACTCACTCACTCACTCACATGAGACTAAACATTTCACAAGTGCCATTAAGACACCAAGAATTTCTAGCTGGGCTCCAAACTGGCTACTAGGACTCACTAACGTCCTCCATTAGCTCTGTTTTTCCTTTTCCTTCTCTTCTCTCTCAACGAGACTTACTCTCTCTACAGAAATATTCCTGTCCAGCAGTCCCTTATTCTCAGTCATCCTCAGCCCATCTGCCTCAAGAACTTCTCATTCCTTTCAGGAGCTCCAGTAGGAAACGCAGCAATACATAAGCGATGGTTATCTCCCCACCAGTATGCTCTGTGTTGCTATAGAGTACGGATTTATGAATATATATATGTACATACACTACTGTAGTATCACACGTTTCTGTATCTATTGCCCTTTTGGAAGGTCACACACGTTCTCTCAACCTCTATCCTTTTCTGTTGTGGTAAATATGTATGAGCTCTCCTGTTTGTGGAGGGAAAGAACACTCAATGCCCTATGAAGAATCTCACAAAAGTCACCAGCAGAGCCATGATTAAAATCCTGACCTCACTATCATAGGACCTCTCTTCCCATTTAAATTGTACTGCTTTGTATCTGGTATTTGGCCATTTAATGCAATAGCATTGTGAACAGACTGCAATCTGAAGTAAAAAAGACAAAGAAGATATGAGATTTATCTAAATCAGCCAAAACTGGATCAATAGCAAGTAATATCTATTTCTGATAGCTCAGTGGATTCTAAAATGGCAGTTTCATATCCATTTTTAGTTCTTTCATTAAAAACTGCATGAATGAATTATTGTTCTTACAGACATTTGTGGAAGGAAAATTTCTGATCTGTCATGAGGATCATTTAATTGCAACATAGTTTGGCAGTGAACTAAATGGTTACTTTCATTAAAGAAACAGCCCTTTCTATCCCTTTAACCCTCCTTGTTAACTGACATGCTACTCTGAAAGCAGACAATATTATGTTCTAGTCCTAGATCACTTCGGGGACAAAAACCTATTAAGCTTTTCCCTCTCTTTCCTTTCTTCCCTCACTTCTCCCAAGGTGATGAACTTGTTATCAAATCCTTGTACCTCTCTAACAGAGATTTATACCAGCAAATGCCAGGAAGATTAATATCAAAATCAGGCTAATAATGCGATTCTGATTTCAACTGTCATTAGTGAAGAAATAGTATTTCCTTCTATAAAATGACACGAAAACAAAACAGACTCAGTAATTCACCAAATAACTTTATCAACAACCACTTGACAGTGAGAGAATGAACTTTCAAAGGTTATTCTCAGGCGTGAGACAGGATGAAACATGGCCAGTTGCTCCTACTTACGTGTTCATTTCCAGAACATTTTCTGCCGCAAAATAAAATGTCTTGATCTGTGGGTGGCTGATCTTAATAGCACTTCAAGAAAAGAAAAATAGAAGAAACATGAAGAAAACTAGTTTACATAAGAAAAGAAAAAAATAGGTGAATGAACTATTTCAAATATTTATTCACTCCACTATATTAAGCCAGATCAGCTTATCCATCCATATAGCTCTTTCCTTAAAACTCTAGTCTATTTTTAGCTCATCTCCTAGGCCACACATTATTCAGAGTGTATAAACTACAGGAACTAAAAAGGAAGGAATGAAGAATAAAACAAAGACCTTCATTATGCCATTACATAATTCAGTTGTGTGCCCACATCTGGAATACTGTGTGCAGCTTTGCTTCCCCCAGCTCAGAAAAGCATAGTAAACATGGAAAAGGTTCAGAGAAAGTACCAGGGGTGACCCAAGGTATGGAACAGCTTCCATGAGTTATTACTGAGGCTAAGACCCCACAGCATGGGAAACTGATGGCTGAGAGAAGGGAGATACAATACAGTAAAATCACAAGCCGCACACAACGGGTGAATAGAGACTGACTCTTCACTGTCTTTTCCAAGACAAGTTTTAGGAGGCACCAAAGAGGCAACTAGGCAGCAGATTTGAAACAAACAAAACGGAGGTAGTCCCTTGACATGCCAATAGTTAACCTGTTGGTCTCAGCCTCAGACTATGCTTTAGTTGAATAGCCATCAGTAAGACCTTTCAGAGGGTTTTTTTTTCCTAAAACATAGTCTCCAATCCCGAGACTGTGTGGCTTCCCTCTTTTGTTCCTTGTTAGGTGACTGACTCTGTCCCGTGGAAGCACACACTATTTGACTGGGCCCCAGCAGCCCCGGTCACTCCTCCCAGTTCTAACTTACTCCATCCCAAGTAAGTGATAAGCAAGTGTTTTCCTCCCAGTCACTGACAGCCAAGAGCTGCAGAAGTGAAGGGGAACATTTTCTCATGGCCCTGTACTATGTGACTCAACCTGTCCTCTGAGAAAACAAAATGGAGCTCCCATATTCAAAACAGCTGTCCCCTTTATTTGGAGGAGTCAAGCCCACAGTTAGTCGCAAGAACACCTACAGCTAATGTCAGCGTGAGACCCAAACAGAATGAAGGCTTTCTCTAGAGGGACAGAACAAAAACAATGTTGAGCTTTATAACTTTGAACAGCAGCAACATCCCTTCAAACTTTTGAAGTCTACTCAGAAGCAGCTGGAAGTCAATGCTGTATATGGAGTTTGGAGAGAATATTTTTAAATTTGTACCATGATGAACAAAGTTGCACCACAGCAGCCTAAAGAATAGTCCCAACTCGGAGGGAAGCAGCATTACTTGCACTGCTGTTGACCTGCCCACCTAAGAGAAGGTATCTAAGGTAGAATACAACTCACTTATAATCAGTGAACAAAGAGAAGGAAAAAAAAGCACTTGGCATACTGATCTACTTTTTTATTTGTAGTTTTAACAGAGCACATCTGGCAGAGAATTTTCAAAAATATTTTTGCAATATGGTTTTCTTTCACTAGCGCAATTAATATCTCATTGTTTATACAACACAGAAGAGCTCTCCACAGCTTCATTGTCAGGCACTACTGAGATTCAGTTTCTTGCAACGTTGTAAAAATCATGCAAAACTGGAGGCAAGAAATAAACTTACTGCTTTTTTTTGCATTCAGTTGCTCGGTCCACACTGAAGTCTGGAAGTCTGATGAATCCTTCTGCTTTTTCAGCCTGCAATAAAAAAAAAAAAATTAAAAATCACCACATCAACCAACTGCTAAACTATCAGACTCCAATGCTCAACAATATTTAACATGCAAGTGCTTGTTTTTGACAGCTTTTTATAGTGTGAAAATATATGCTCATCACCATGGGGACAGATTAACACCCAATGTTTTGACTGATATTTGGGAACAAGCAATATTCCTATACCAGCTACTCTTTGTGCAAGTCCTGGATGCTAGAAAGACACCACTCCTGTCTGTGCAAGTGGCAGAGTGTGAGTATAGGATTTGTTGTAGGCTTCCAAATATCAAAGCGCCTGAAAGAGGAAGGATCTTCAACTCCTACAGTAGTGTTGAGGTAGATTCCCCCTCCTCCTCACCTCAAAGCATTTGTATCAGAGCACCCTTATCTAAGATTCATGAATAAGTCATAAGTCTAGTCCAGAGTCTGAAATTGTCAGAGGCAAAATTTAGGTTTGGATCAAATCAGGACTAAAGACAGCGGGAAGGTGGACGAACCCAATTCCTTTGTAGCCATCAGTGATCACACAACTTCTTTTGACAAAGAGACCAGACACACTTTGTCACAGACCACAGAAAACGAAACTACTGAACCTCAGCTCTAAAAAGAGAAGCCTCTCAAAAGAGACAGATGCCATAAGAGAGAATGAATAAGGGTTATATCGTCCATAAACGGACGTTACATACAATCTCAAAGGAGTGTTTGTTCCATTATAAAGCACACGTGCATGTTACACAGATGTGTAACAGCACCACATATCATGATCTACGTATATTTGAAAAATACATGTCTATAGCGATGGGAATTCAAAAGTGACCTAAAATTATCATAGGTAGATATGGAGGAGGGTCTCCCCTAGGTAACTGTGACATGGACCATTTTGTAGGGTCACCTGTATACGCCTGCATGTAAGCAAGGCAGAGGCAATATGGGCTGCTCCCATGCCAGGAGGTGAAACAGTGCAAGGGGATGGTCCCACGCAGCTGAGCTCTGCTGTTAAACACCGCAAACCAGCATCAGATGGCTTTGGCCACCCAGCCATCACTCCCCACCCAGAAATTTTTAGGCATGGTACAGGAGGTAACAAAAGCCAGGCAGATATTTACAGTACACTCTTTATATGCAGTCACCCCTTTCTGGACAGGAGAGTGTTTACTGATCATTGGCATCTCTGTTCTGGGTCAGCTGGACTCTGTATCAGAGAGTGGCTCCAGCAAAACTGAAGTTACCAGTTAGCCTCAAATCCCTGTTCTTGCTGCCTGCAGCTGAAACATCTTCCTTTACTACATCTGTCTACATTCACCCAATCAGCAGCAGTAAGACTAGGACTCCTCTGAAGAGGAGCAATAATGTAGACAAGAGTCTGTAGCACATAATGTCAGGAAAAACTGTACTTTCTGAAATACAGGAGGTGTTCATTCCTGAATCACTTTTTTGCTGCTCCCAGCCCTTATCCCTAGGCACATTAAAATTCTGAAAACGTACACTGAGTTAAAGCAGGTAAAATATACACAGCAATTACAAAGACAGAGGATAAATGAAGATGACTGACAGCATCTCAAGTCACATTATGCATGAATATGAAGAGACTATAAAAAGATGTTCATCGAGACAAGTCTTTGAGCTTTAATGCTTGGAAGTATGAATCTCTGAGAACTGAAATATGGATACAGAATAGACTTTTCAGTAGGTGGCTTCCCTGCACCTCTGCATATCTGTTCTTTGGTACACAATAAATCATGGCATAACCATCATTCCTGCAGTCTATATGTATTAAATATTCATATGTGAGTTTTGTATTTTGCATCTTCACCAGTAAATGGTTTTACCTGCTTCAGGACCAAAAAAAAAAAAAAAAAAAAAGGGGTAAAAAAACTATAAATTGTGGGTAGAGCAGGAGGGGAAAAGCATGTGGCTGCGATTAATACCTCAACCTTTTATTAATAAACCTTTATAATTCTATCTGCGAAGGGGGGGTTGTTATTTTCTTTTAGTACTGAAGAAACAATGATGTTCATTGGCATCTGGGATGAAAAAAATCTTGATTTTGCAACGTGGCTTCATTTGTACAGAAATGTGCTTATTTGCAGTTGTGGCCTTTTAACGTTCTCTGATTATATTTGTACCTGTCAAACTTGTTTAGAGGCTGGCTTGGGGAGCTTTTGTTTCCATTCCACAGGTTGTAATTTAGGGAGACTAAACTTATTGAGACAAAATAACAATTAACTAAGGAAAAAAAGTAACAAGATTTTTTAAAAGGTGAGAGGTTTTTTATGTATATTTCTACCAATTAGACCTTGAGCTAGTATTTCCAACCCAGATCCATAGTACACTAAGTATATAAGGATGAGCGAATGAGTAGTGGTGAGTAAAGGAGGAGCTCTATTCATGCGCTGCATTGCACTAAAGATAGAGAATGTGCTATCCTGTGTTTCTGTACCAAAAAGAGTGGTCACTTACTAGAACAGGTGCAGCAAGAACACTGAAATTCCTGTTTGGTTCCCAAGACCAGCATAAGAACACCAGAGACCACCCTCAAAAAAAGCAGTTCATGGGGTATCAAAGCCATTATTACACATTGCTGGATGAGAAATGTATACGATGTCAGTTATTTCTCTACAGCATCAATCAATAAGCCCAGTTTAAAAAAAAAAAAAAAAGAAAAGAAAAAGAAAGACCCTGTAAAAAGGAATATACCCATGTACATTCTCACCCACGCACCAATAAATCCATGGCCTGAGCTAGGTAAACCATCAGGTGGGTGAGTGGGTGACTAGGATTTGCGGGGGTTTTTGGTCTTACATGTTATAACTGCAATTACAGCTCAGCCAGTTTCATCTACTGGTGCAGTAGCCATTGGTCTAGACTGCATCCTATAAATCACTTAGGGTGCTGCACAGACACTCATGAGGAGATTAAGTCTATGCAACACCATTAGATAAGTCGCTGTCTCTGCTGTAAATTCAGTTTTGTTTTATACAAATATTTGATCATTCAGATTTTGTACTGGGCTACTGAATTATCAGGATCCTGTAAGCCAGTGTGGGGACACTCAGCTGGACTCTTTCCACCCATGTGGAGATGGAACTTGGACTTGAACCACTGACATATCCAATGAGTATCTAAATTAGAGGAATATTCTCTAACTTGCTAATGGAAATAGGTCTGTAGGCTTTGATTTCAGTAATTACATTTACCAAGTTTTACAACAGAGAAATCCCCAGACTTCTTATGCAGCATTTGGCATGTTCCAGGTGGTAAAAGATTATGTTCAATGTGGTCAGGTTTTATATGAATTCTGTCCGTGATTTCACATTTGCTCATTTATAAGAAAAGATTAATGTTTCATTTTATGTATGAATGAAAGGAAAGAGGATAATGGTGTGAATTTTAGGAATAACATCTCTTTTTTTTTTTTTTTTTAAATACACTATTGGTACACATCTCAGATGTGCCATCTATGTAACAGAAAACAGGGGGGTGATGGATATGTAGTTCCATAATTATCAGAAAAAAAGGAAGGAAAAAAAGGAAAACAAAACATAACAGTAAAACCTTATAAGCATTATTACAGTCAGCAAATAGAATTCCAAATAAACACTAGGAACAGAACATGGGGAAGTCATCTTTTCAGTCATTCTTGGGATAAAAGTGATATTTTACAACATTAAAAGTGTATAGAAGTCCTAAATGTTTTCTCTAAAATGTTATCTTTAATGTGACTTTGAGCATGCTGTTATTTAACCCACACATTTCACTCAAACTTCTTTCAGATTTTATTGCAATGATGTAAAATAGCCCTAAAAAACTCAGATTAAAAGAACCTTGACCTGTTTCCTATTTAATTAGGATGTTTAAAAGAACGGGCTGTTATGTCTTATGGCTTTTATGCAGGTTAGCCTAACATATAAATCTGCACTTTGTGCTATGCCCAATTGTAAGAAAATCATTTCAATAACAACAGCCTCTGCAAATGCTTGGGGCAAAAAAGAAAGTAACCACTTTTTCACAGAAAAATGTTTTCACTCAAAAAAAATTCAAACATATTTAGGAAACACAATGCATGAATCCAATGAAAGAGCCTAATGTCCTTTTTAGCTTGCCTCACTACGTTGTCTAAATTTTGTGGCTTTAGGAGATTTAGTAAATCATTTAATAAATCTTTTTCAATATTTAAAGTGAATGCAGTGATGTGGAAAGATTTTTTAAAATAGTGCTGTGAAGTGAAAGTATCTAGTTATTGTGGAACAGCTCCAATCTGCAATTCAGGGTACTCTTGATGGCTTCAACACAGTGTTTCAGTGCTGCTCCCAGAAGACCCAGGAGCAGTTCAGTCCTCAAGCCTTTTTAGTCTTTTTTCTCTCTGCCAAGTACACTAGTGAGGCAACATATAGAACTGTGAAAAATTTGTGTAACATATTGGACTAGAGGTCCTCAAAGCCCTCAGCACAATCAACCGACATCAATGACTTTTTATCGTTCACATAAGCAGCAACTATAACTCAAAGGTGAAAGGTTTCTGTTTTAAAAGACTGCAATTATACAGCTCCTGGCAAAAAGCTGTTGGAGTGAGGACCAATTTTAAATGCAGTGAACAGGGGAAAAAAAACCCCAAAGATAAATAGTGACAGTAGATCACAGCCTGCAACCCTTTGATTTTATATTTATATTTCTTTTCAGCTGAATCCCCATGACAACGATCATTAACACATCCTGCAAAACTGTATTTCAACTCTACTTGGAAAACCAGCCGAGCTATCCGAAAGGCCCACAAGACAGAGGCATTTAGTCCTCGGTCCCTTTCCAGCCGACACTATCCAACATAGTCTCAACAAGTGCAAGAGTCAGGAGCCTGGGATTATATGTGACGATCTTCCCCCTCTACCCCTCTTTGTATGCAGGAGCACTGATTCTGTCCAGGGTTTCAGTATGAGAACTAAAACTGCTAAAGGGGCAGGCAGGATCACACACTGTCCTCTTTAAACCCTTGTCTGATGGCTCACATTAATTTTCTGACATTTTCCATGTTTCCATTGCAAAACCAGCCTTTCTGTGTTTCTTCCTAGTCCAAAGAGCTTCCCCTCCCCAGGATGGGGGCACGTCCATGCTGCAAACACAAGCTTACATGCCTCATGTGGTATCCATGTTTTATTGAAAGAGCAAGCATACATGGGAAGAGGTTTTAGGGCAGTCTACCCAAGCCTGCTGAGACCACTGGGGCCCTAACTTCACCACTCCCAGTACCTTAGCTAGCTGGTTGAAAGCTAATTTGGATTTGCCTGTGTGCTCTTGTTTGCTTTCAGCAAAGGAGAACCTTGACTCTCAGGGTGTCTGATCTGCTGCTGCTGACCCTTCTCGACATTTTGCTATTTTTTCTCTTTTGAGCTGTGGCTTTCACAACTTATTTTATGTTAAATTGAAGGAGCTACTGTCTGAAAATATTACCACAAGTGTCCTACATCTCCTCCCCCCATCTGCCTCACGTGCAAGACCCAGAACCAGAGTGGCTTGAAGGCAAATTAGATCAGAGCGACAGAAACATCCAGAGCTTCAGAAGTGCCTAAAGACAGACTTCACCGAGAACACGATGTCAGCTGAGGTTACCTACCCAAATCTGGGCCAACGCACATTCCCATACAAATTCCACCCACTCCCTATTTCCTCCATCTCCATTAGAAAAAAAGGTTAGGTCCAGCACCCTGTTGCTATGCTACAGTTGCCAGTGTCTGGTCGACTGTGGTTTCCACACAGCCACAAACAAAACACACTCATTTCCCACAAGTACAAAGCTGGTCAGGCAAAGCTACAGGCAGCCAGTGTGCCCCAGTTCCTCCGACCTCAGCCCCACTCCTCCACCACCACCTTTCACTTCAGCCTCGAAGAGGGCCTGTCATGGGAAGCCTCAGACACATGAGGAGCAGGACTCCTCCTCTTTCAACACAACTATGAACTTAAGATTGTCATCTTGGATGACCCGTTGGGACTGAGGATTAACTCCACTGAAGGTGGTGGAAGTGCAGGCAGTATTAAAGCCAGGCCAGATACAGAAGTAAAAAGAAATATCAAGCAAGCCAGTGAATGTGTCACTGCTATTCCTGCTTTATCAATCTAGAGGTGAAAATATCTGTGAAAGCACAACAGGTCTAATTCATCTCAGATATGACTCTGACCATGGCTCTGCTCTCATTAATTTAAGTAAACAGATCTAAGCAAAGGACACCTCCTCTCCTTCCCACACCCCCTAATTACTTCCATTCTGCAAACATTGCATAAATCTACAATCATGCAGAGGTCGCACTTTAAGTTGTCCAAAGAAACATCAGGTTTTTAATGTAAAATAATGTGTGAAAGTCAGCAGAAGTTGAAAGCATAGAGGTGCTACCAGTTAGCATGTTTACAAGAACAACTGTGATAGGTGAGAAGGCAGAGCTGACATAAGCCAATAGTATTTTGAAGCCATGTGATCTCTTTCGAGTATATGAAATAAACCAGAATGAGGCTGCCACCCATTCTTCAGCCTTGTTCATTTTGAGGCATCAGTGACAGCAGGAGAGCAGGCGTGAACCAAAAGGACAAGTTCACCCAAACGGCAGATGCTGTCTAGTAGCACTGGGATCAGCATGACCATGGCTTCCCTGGATCCTGAGAAGGGAATTTAGCGAGGCCACGACAAGTGGCCAAGAGGAAAGGGCCTCAAGCTGTGCCAAGGGAGGTTTAGTTTGGATATTAGGAAGAGCTTCTTCACTGAAGGAGTAGTCAGGCACTGGAACAGGCTGTCCAGGGAAGTGGTTGAGTCTCCATCCCTGGAGGTATTTAAAAGACAGGTAGATGTGGTGCTTAAGGACATGGTTTAGTGGTGGACTTGGCAGTGTTAGGTTAACGGTTGGACTCAATGATCTTAAGGGTCTTTTCCAACCTTAACAATTCTATGATTCTGTGATTCTAAGTAAAGGAATTGGACGACTTTGTTCCTCTCCCCCACCACCCTTCTCTTCCCGGAATGCAAAATTTGCCTAGTCTTGCCTCATTTTATTTCCTCCCAACTTCATGTCAGCCAGCCAACTCACTTTTCTTAACACTGCTTGGTCAGAAGTACAACTGCAAGCAGTGATCTAGAATAGTCAATGTTAATAAGGGTTTGCAGGGTATTAATGCCACTGATGAGTATATCTGCCAGGCCATGTCTTTTAAGCAGAAATACTGCAAGCATTGGAAAAGCAAAGTCTTTTTTTCTTTTTTTTCTCTACTCTTCCTATTTCTTTTCTTTCTTTCTCTTTCTCTCACGCGTGTATTTGACTTGGTCTTGAAAGGAAGCTAAATCAGACTATCACAACACCACAAAAAACAACAGCCCAAGACCAGCAGAGTTGTTTTCACTTTTCCCCCAAAAAAGAATAGGTAATACCATCTTTAAATGCCATTTAAGAAAGGTCAAAGTTTTTATTCTGTTAAAAAAACTCCAACACTGAACCCATAACTGAAGGGAGAATGTGAAATACTCTTTACACAAGTAAAGTTTTGTTTAGGCTTTCGGGATTTTTTTTTTATGGTTTAAACTATTTATTTGCAACTTGAATGAAAAAGCAAGATTTTTAATGGGGATTACTGCAACAGAAATAAACAAGTGGAAACAATCCACATTGCATTTAAATTCTTAAAATATTCTAAGAATTAATAAGGGTTTCTTTAATCTTTCATCCTTTGCTGGGCCTGGGAGATGCTGATTTCCAGAGCAGACCTTTTGCATTTAGGAAACCTGATGCCCGTCCACAATTCCACACTGAAGCTGCTCAGTTTCAACCTATGTTGTTGCTGGCATCCCTTAATCCTCTGCACGCCCCAATTCTGGGCTCTGTCAGTCCATCATTTGAACATGATAGGAGCTTTTCTAGAGGTAGCAGTGCAAGAGAGCAAAGTGACAAGAATAATTATGTGTGAATCTTCCTAGGATGGGCAAGACATCATCTCTGCCCAATCAAGCTGAGCTGTAGCAAACAGCCTGGAGTAAAGCCAGATGTTCCCTAGGACTCACTGCTGCTTTGCACTCAGCCATAACCTTTCATTAAAAGGGTTACTCTGGATTTCTCACTATGTCTCCCCCACACACCTTTTCCAGTTTTTAATTCCTAGTTCTTCAGTTGATTACAGGAATCCAGGGCCTGTTGTTCTTTGTCTCAGACTATTTCCCACTCTCACTGTAAGTGAAGAAGGCTATTTGGCCTGGATCAGCAGGTGGAGAAATGCTATCTATATCGGCTGTCCTGAGGAAAGCTCATCCTCCAAACAGAAAGCTGGACCTTGAATTCAAAACAGTGTCCTGCTGCAGACTTGACTTTTAGCATCAAGTCATCAGAGCAGGAAGTTAAAAATCAGCAGAACATGAGAACCTTTAATTACAATGCTCTGGATGAGATATCAGCAAGACCAGGAGTAAAAACATCACCAACTGACAGTGTTCATACCTGCAACCCTACCAGTGTACACTGGGAAAAAAAGAAAGAAAGAAAAAAGGAGGGGGCGGGGGGGACACCAAACAAAAAAGCAAACAAATAAACAGATTAATCTCAGTGTGGAAGGGGGTGGAGAGAGAAGCAGGAGAAAGATTTCAGAAAATTAAAGTAATCAGAAGTGATGAAGCATTCCTGGTTTGAATCTTGATAGTGAGTGTCTGCAAACTGCCCAACCCAGGAAAACCTTTCCCAATTTCAAATGCTACCAACGCCTGCAAAGAGCAGCTCTTTAAAGGGCAGAACAGACAGCAAGTTAACATTTCACAAGTACTTACTGAACTAGAAAACACATAGTTTTCCGCATGTTTCACATTCACATAGATGCTTCCCAGATTACAAGAAATGTCAGGGCTGAAAAATAAACCCAGTCATTTGTACGTCTCCAGGGCACATTTAAATTGTGACCCCAGCTCCCCTTCGCTCAGTCCCATCAGACGCTGTTTGCCCGGTACCCAGAGCTGGATGGACGCTGTACTCACCAGCTGACTGCTGTACCAATACAGTGATGACTCCTTCAGCACACACCAGAACTTTTTCCATTTGTTGCCAATGAAAGCTCCTTTTTCCTTCTTTTTGTAGAGCCATCCTTGGCAATCGGCTTGCCCCAGCTCTTTACACGATATCCTCCGTCGGCTCATTATAAAGAACCCTGTGCCATTAAAAATACAGCGTTCTTCTTGTTTAAAAGTGCATTACCAGGAAAGATGATGCTGCCAATTAAAGATATCAACCTTACTTAGCAATCTCAGCGAGTCGTCCAAGCATATCTTAAAATATACTTAGAAGTGATACAGTTTTATAATGGCTGTGACAGTAACTTATATTCATTTCAAAGGCATTCTGATGTGCAGAAACAAAATAGTAAGCTATAGATAATGCAGACACTAATTAATGCTAAGATAACCATACACGGGTTTTTGTAAATTAAAAATATATCCTTTGATTCTTTTAAGAGAAGCATGCATGTATTTCCCTTCACACAGCTGCACTGAAAAGAATACATCTACTTAAGTCAGCTAAAGAAAACTATTATGCCAAGTACCTGAAAACCGCTAGTGTGTGTGTGTGTATGCGCATGCAGCTGATTCTACCTCACTGATTTCCAGCTTTGATTCAATTAACATACCACAAGGATTCAGTCCAAAGGAACAGCCCGTTGTCATTTTCCTCAGAATCAGTGCAAGAATCAGTGGAGTTAAAAAGCAGCCTTCCAGCAGCTGAGTAGCAGTATAAAATCCTCACCCTCCCAAGAATAAGACATACTAAGAAAATAACAAAAGAGGAACCCAGAAGAGAAAAGAAAAAACAATCTTTCATTACCTTGACTTTTCTTTTTTGTCTTCTGACGCAAGGGAACCTGTAAGAAATGCAGGAAGGAAAGAAAAGAGGAAATTTCAGATTGTGTTGCAACATTTGTGTAGAAAGGGGAGGGGGAAGATAGAAAAGGACGTGGTGGTGATGCTAGTGGTATATGCAGGATGGAAACGCATAACCCACTCACTGCTGAAGGGACGTTAGTAGCTGAAGCATAAAACCTGTTAATTAAAACTGATGTATATCTAGTTGAGCAAGAGCAAATGTAACTCTGTTATACATGTGTCTGTCGACTAGTGCTTCCTGTTTCACACCCACAGGCAGCTTCTACTTTGCTACGTTTGCCTGAATTGTATTCTGTATTCAGAAGTTAAAAAATAGAAGTTAGAACTCCAGTATTTTAATGCTTCATTACACTGCACAAGGAGGATTTACAAACATGGGGAGATTAAAAATACATGCCAGGTGTTTGATTGTCCTTTAGCTCATTCTAAGCAATCCTGAAAAAAGAAAAAAAAATTATTTTCCACTCCCCTTTTTTATTTAGTGCAGAGAATGTATTTCCCCCTACGTAAGAGTTTCACAATATTTCTTAAAAAAGAAAAAAAACAAAAATCACACAAACCTGGCAGATTATCCAAACCATAAAACATAAATATGCCAGAAGTTTGCCACGCCATATATGAGTTTCAGTCACAGCAAAAATAACACAGTTTAACTATATTTACTCATTTGCAGTCTATATATTTCATCCCACATAAACACATAGATAATGAAACTAAAAGAAGAAGACCATGGACTGAAAAAGAGGTCATTAGAAATGTAAAGTCTGTCTTTTGAAGTAAATTCTCCCCAGACAGGCTGGTTGGTCGTGTGATTGTGGACAAAACACTTGACTTCTCTTTGCCTCAACCTTTCCATCTCTAGCATGGGAAGAAAAGCATTCACTTTCTTCTATTTTTAGGAAGCCTCTGGATGACAAATGCTGGATAAGGTGATGTATGATTTAATATGCTTGGCCACAACGTTGCTATGCAAAGCTGGTAGCTACCTGATCCGCTGCAGAGCTACGCTATGAACATCCCTAATGCAGCCCCTCTGCCTAGCCAGCCAGCTTTTCAGGAAAACAAAACCCCATTTCATATTACTCTTGAAGGATCTGATGGCTCTTCTCACAGGCAAATTAAAGGTGAATAAAGCTACACCATCTGGAAGCAGTAATAGAAGAGACCACTGTCACCAGTATTTACTAGAGCTAGAACTTTCTCTAACCAGTGATCTTTGCAGCATGTATCAGAGTGCAGAACCACATATCGCAGTTGTGTGTTTATCTGGTGCCTATTTGACATGACCTGAACAACACACTTGTGGGAGGCTTTACCAGGAATGAATAATCCCAGACTCCTGCTTAATCATCACGTATTCTTTTTTCCTTTTCTTTTTTTTTTTTTTTTTTAT